AGTACAAAGAATCTCCTGTCAACACTCATGTATCTATTTACTAAAAGCATTACTCTCTCTGCCATCTCCCAACTTTCCAGGATGGTTATCATTTTGTATTTTTCTTTGGCAGGTTGGTACTCAACAGTTTTTAAAGAATACTCAGAGGGCCCATAGTTCTAAATGAAAACTAACCCGGAGGCTAATACTTTGTAGTTTCCGTTATCAGATGAATTAGGAAAAGGATTTTAAAACTTTGTTTGGGCCATGGAATTATTAATTTAAAAAATCCCAAATCAGTCTGAAAAATAGTGGTTGTAGTATTTTTTCCACAGAAGAAAAAGCTTTCTACTGTATTTTTGAACAACAGCTGTTAATGTGTCTGTCTGTTTGAGTGAACTTTTTAAGAGGGGGGGGGAGGGGGGGCTCCTGTTTGTTGTCTCACATGGAATCCATTCATGAGGTGTGAAACCAGAAGATTCATAGAACATATTATGAAAAAAAAAACTGAGAAAGAGGGTCTGGCAAACAGTTAAAACAATTTTCAACTCTTATCCTAGTAGAGGATGGTTTCATATGCTTAATGTACCTATTATATCCATTGCAATACTGATTTGTCAGTATTACTTCTCTAAATATGTTATACATAAAATGAAGGCTTGATCTTTTAGAAGTAATCATTTGTCCATCTATATATAGCAGCTGTCACCGGAAAAATCTGCAGAAATTTTTGGTCTGTGGAAAAATCTTGATTTTTAAAATATTTTTTATGCTGCTGCCCAGTAGAGCATGCCTGAGCCCAAACACTGGGCCTTGTTGGCCTTGGAAGCCAGGGATCCTGCAGGCATCCCGGCCATGTAAAGGCTACCCAAATCCCCGGGTTGTTTGCAACTCAAGTGAGCCATGCAGCCTCCCCACCACCGCACCTGGGCCTGCCAGACACCATCTGCCAAACCAAGTGGTGGGCAGGGATTAGCCCGCCGAGGACAGCACCCCTCTAGCACCCGCTGCCCTGGCAAAGGCAAAGTAGAAGCAGGCAGTGGCAGTGCATCAGTGGTTCACCAAGCTGGCCTGCTGATCTTGGCCGGTGGCAGCAGCTCTGACTCTATCCTCTGACTCTAATGCTGCGGGCAAGAACCAGCCATGCTGATCCCACTTCATGGCCGTGCAGATGGAGCCCGCCCTGGCCGCTGCCCAGTCCCAGGTTGGCCGACCTGGGATTCATGGCCCAGCACCAGTCCCGTGTTTGCTCAGTAGGGATGTGGGGACTAGCCGGGCCAGCTGAGTGTGCACAAAACACTGAGCTGAAGATGAGGATTTGTGGGGCGGAGGGGTCGTTGAGTCCAGCTGGCTTCACTGGAGGCATTGCAAAGAAGCCCATTTCTTGAGTTGGCCGGACAGGTGTCGCTCACACAGAGGCCTGGCCTTGGTGCACCACCCTGAGCAGGCACCAAACTGAAGGCAGGGGAGGGTCAGTCCCCTTACATGGTTGCCTTCCGCCATTTCTCATTAAATGTCTGTATGTGTCTATCTGTCTGTCTGTCTGTCTGTCTGTGTGTGTGTGTGTGTGTGTGTGTGTGTGAGAGAGAGAGAGAGAAAGAGAGAGAGAGAGAGAGAGAGAGAGAGAGAGAGAAATGGCAGAGAACTCTTTCAAACAGCATTGTTACTCGCCGTCATCTCTCTCTCTCTCTCTCTCTCTCTCTCTCTCTCACACACACACACACACACACACACACACACACACAGATATTTAATTGTTTGAAAGGGACAGGCTGTGCTTTACTTCTACTGTAAGCACCCGCTTCCAACAACCATTCTTTTCTCAAGCAGTAGCAGCCGGGTGGCGGGGGGAGCCAATTCCAATGGGGCCCATGGCTTTCCCCATAGCCCCATAGCCAGCCTGAGCAACACCCAACCGTGGTTTTCACCTGCTCCAGAGCCACAGGGTGAGATGAGGAAGAGAGGGGCCCTTGGCTTAAGATTGCCTGGTGCCGTGGGGAGGGCTCGGGCTAGCAAGAGTGCATCGGAAACATCTCCAAGCTCCCGGAGAGATAGATCTCCCATCCCTCATTGACTCAGCTGTTCTGCGGGCCAGTTAAGGGGCCAAGCAGTCATGAGGTGACCAGGGAAGGGCTGCTGCCTCTGCTAGCACATCCACCCTCTTCACTAGGCCCATTAATTTACAAATATATTTATCTTTTTCAAAAATTCATATTAAATGGTCCACGGGATTTAAAATTATGAATTTAGTGGTTCCTAATATCTGAAAGGTTGGTGACCGTTGATCTATAGCATGTTATTCATTTGATAAAAATGGTAGGAGAGAGACTTTATGCAATAGAGAACAAAAACTGCAATACAAAACCAACCTGTTTGATTTCTGATGAACTTCCACATGTATCTGCAGGGATTCGCAGTCATTTTGAAGAGGCAGTTTTAAATCACTTGTTGCTTCATCCATTTTATAAAAACCTAATTAGAGAATAGTTATACATTTTAAAAGGCCAAGAAACAATTTATTTGATCACTCAAAATGTACTTAAAAAAAATTATTAGCCAATTTGTTTCTATTGTGTTTTCATTTCTGATTCATTCACACATTAAAGCAAAAATGGTTCTATGACAACTCTTTTATGGACACACCTATATTCTTTTCCAGAATTTCCAGTCTGGCCATTGGCTGAAAGAGATTTAAGTTCTGAATAATGATATCAAAATAAATTTAAACCGAGTCTATTTGCAATTTAAATGTCCCTGGAGCAATAAAAACGTATCAGTTTGCAACCAAACACTGCCTTTATACCACTTAGAACAGTAGTATAGAAAGTTTCAGTCATGCAGTTCATATTCCTTTTGCATTAAGTTGCTATGTCAGGTTTCCATATGACTGTTTACTCTGTGTGTGTGTGTGTGTGTGTGTGTGTGTGTGTGTGTATGCCATATATATATGGCATTCGGCTTTGTTCGGGTATTTTCCCACGACATTGTAGTTGTGCTTTTAAAATTGTAGCAACGTTTCGGCAGAATCTATACAGAAGCCTGATGATGGCAGATGAGATTCTGCCGAAACGTTGCTACAACTTTAAAAGCACAACTACAATGATGTGGGAAAATACCCGAACAAAGCCGAATGCCATACATGTAAGTACCCGCGAAAACTTAAGAATGAATACACACACATACACACACACACAGTTGCTCCTTGACTTAAAACCCTATTGAGCCCAAAATTTCTGTTGCTAAGTGAGATATTTAAGTGGCCTTTGCCCCATTTTACAACCTTTGTCACAGTTAGCGAATTACTGCAATTGTTAAATTAGTAACATGATTAAGTTTGACTTTGTCAGAAGGTTGCACGTGGCCTTGGGACACTGTAACTACTGGTATCAGAAATATGAATCAGTTGCCAAAATGTCTGAATTTTGATCACATCACCAGGGGAATGCTGTAATGGTCATAAGTGTGAAAAATGTTCATAAGTCATTTTTTCAGTGTTGTAACTTTGATCATTACAGGAACAGTTGTATGTTGAAAACTACAAGCATTAGGATGAAATCACTTTCTAGATTGGTAACAAACTACCTGTGCTCCTGATTTATTCACATTTCCCTTGTCTTTTGCCATTATTAAAACATGGGAAACTATGGTAGAATCAGTAATAGGCAAAACCTAAATCCCCAAATCTTCCTTTTCCAGGACACATAGGGAGCAGTTTCAGCTTCTTGTTGGCAAGCTTACTGAACAGTTTTGAAAATCATTGATGTTCTTGAAGAGAAAGCTAGCTAATATACTTATTTTACATTTCTAGATTGCCCATTAGGCAAGATGTGAGCTGCAAAAACCCAGGCAACAAAGAATTCATTTTAATCTTTATCTCTTTGCTCCATCTAATAATTGCTGGGAATTTTGCAGCTCATCTATGTACAGCAAGAGGTAATGCGTTTATTTAATATATTTAAAGTGGTTTTGCTATTTAAGGTTGAAAGTAATTTTGTTAATTGCATGCAAGCCTAAAAACATTTTTTTGCTGTTGTTTAATTGCAATTTTTGTTTCAGATGCCAATAAAATTAAACAATTATTGTGTCCTTCCCTGCTTTCTCTGACCTCCTTTCCAAATCTCTGTTGTTTCCTTTGCCTGTTCAGGCTACTGGTAACTAGACTGGCTACTTCTATATCTGTCATTTTGTGAATAGCCAAGTCTTCACAGCATCCACTGTATGACAGTGTTCCCCTGCATTCCCGAAGCTCTAAATATCTTAAGCTCTCCATAGCTGCTCACTCCTAATTTATTCAAAATGAGTGGAAACAAATTCAGCTGAAGTAAATAGTTTCCCTATACATTTAGCAATCTGGCAACTGAAGAGCTTAACTCCCCATCTTAAATCAGTGAATGTTAAATAACTGTAAGAATTTCTTGCATCTTAATTTAAGACAAAATTGCAAATTTTTGTAGCAATTTAATTTTTCCTCTTTCTGCCAAAAAGACTTTTGCTAAACCATTTCTAAAAAGCCCAATAGGCGGCTGAATTTACCGCCCATTCCCAGTTTTCCAAAGTACAAAATAATTTTCAAGTATTGTACAAAGCATTATTTTCGCCAATCATCTCTCAGTTCCCTTATGCAAGAAAACGAAAGTCACGTCCACAAGGCTTGGAATTACATCGGTTTGTGGGATCCCGCGGCCGTTTTGTTTTTCTTTGGCAGGAATTCGCTCAGCCTACTTAGAAAAGGATAAAAGTTGTCTTCTCTTCCCTCTTAAGTGATTGTCCAAAGCCCTAAAAAATGGAACAACCATAACGTACATAATCTCATTCAATTCATACGTTTCATAAAAGGCGAGATTTTTTTAAAAAAAACAACAACTCTTGACCACGTACCCAACAGCCAATTGCTACCTGGAACATACGTTGCTTAATCACTTACGCCTGTACAAATTTCCCGCGCTTCTTTCTTCATTAACCAGGATCCGACTTGAGATCAGAAGTGTTTCCGTGTTAGCTTCTTACGTCACTTCCTGCCATTTCCGAGTTCCTTAGGTTAGAGGGAGGTTTGGGTTCCAGGTGGGCTGGGAAAAGTGGGTTTTAATATTTATTTATAATTATAGTCATGGGGAAGAAACATAAGAAGCATAAGGCGGAATGGAGATCAACATCTGCCCCGAGTGTTACTGCTACTGGAACTGGCGCTAGTGCTTACGACGGTAGGTTAAGTGGGCAATCGTGGAAGAGGAAGGAGGGTGGGGAGTAGGAAGAGGAAAGTAAATCCACAATACGAGCATCTGGAGAAGCGTTTCGCTTTGCGCACCATTTGCGCGCCTTTGTCACTGAGACTTTGTCCCATTTCCCCAGGCTGTGATGGAACTTCGGGGGGGTGTGGGGGTAATTTTTATTTCCCAGTAGTCTATCATTATTCGGGAGGAATCCATTGATTTCTGTAAATGTCTGGATTCTGGTCAAGTAAGGTTTCACATATGTGATAGCAGGCTCAATTTGCCTGTAAATCAGAAGTATATTAAAATAAAACTGCCAATTCTGCAATTGTATGTAAAATTTGAGAGTGTACTGACGTTATGGACTCCACAGAGGAACTCCTGGATTGATTTTTTAAAAAGATTCCTCTGGTTCTCAAGAGTTCATCTCTGATATTGTTTTCTTTCAGTTCGATCTTGATGTTGGATCTGAACTGAACTGAATAAGGCTAGTACCCCTTTGCCACTTGCCTATTTCTGTAATTTATATGATTGGGGCATCCCTAACTTAGATGACATTGTAACAGTAGATCATCTAATGTTGTTTCAATATTAACCAATCCTATCACTGTGTGCACTTACAGGTGAAACTCAAAAAATTAGAATATTATGCAAAAGTTCATTTATTTCAGTAATGCAACTTAAAAGGTGAAACTAATATATGAGATAGACTCATTACATGCAAAGCAAGATAGTTCAAGCTGTGATGTGTCATAATTGAGATGATTATGGTTTATGGCACATGAAAACCCCAAATCCACAATCTCAGAAAATTAAAATATTGTGAAAAGGTTCAATATTCTAGGCTCAAAGTGTCCCACTCTAATCAGCTAATTAAGCCATAACACCTGCAAAGGGTTCCTGATCCTTTAAATGGTCTCTCAGTCTGGTTCAGTAGGAAGCACAATTATGGGAAAGACTGCTGACCTGACAGTTGCGTAGAAAACCATCATTGACACCCTCCATAAGGAGGGAAAGCCTCAAAAGGTAATTGCAAACGAAGTTGGATGTTCCCAAAGTGCTGTACAAAGCACATTAATAGAAAGTTATGTAGGAGGGAAAAGTGTGGAAGGAAAAGGTGCACAAGCAGCAGGGATAACCACAGCCTGGAGAGGATTGTCAGGAAAAGGCCATTCAAAAGTGTTGGGGACTTTCACAAGGAGTGGACTGAGGCTGGAGTCAGTGCATCAAGAGCCACACCATACACAGATGGATCCTGGACATGGGCGTCAAATGTCGTATTCCTCTTGTCAAGCCGCTCCTGAATAACAAACAATGTCAGAAATGTCTTACCTGGGCTAAAGAAAAAAAGAACTGGTCTGTTGCTCAGTGGTCCAAAGTCATCTTTTCTGATGAGAGCAACGTTTGCATCTCATTTGGAAACCAAGGACCCAGAGTCTGGAGGAAGACTGGAGAGGCACACACTGCAAGATGCTTGAAGTCCAGTGTGAAGTTTCCACAGTCTGCGTTGATTTGGGGAGTCATGTCATCGGCTGGTGTTGGTCCACTATGCTTCATTAAGTCCAGGGTCAATGCAGCCATCTACCAGGAGATTTTGGAGCACTTCATGCTTCCTGCCACAAACGAGCTTCATGGGGATGCTGACTTCATTTTCCAGCAGGACTTGGCCCCTGCCCACACTGCCAAAAGCACCAAAACCTGGTTCAATGACCGTGGGATTACTGTGCTTGATTGGCCAGCAAACTCGCCTGACCTGAACCCCATAGAGAATCTATGGGGCATTCCCAAGAGAAAGATGAGAGACATGAGAGACCGAACAATGCAGAAGAGCTGAAGGCCGCTAAGGAAGCATCCTGGTCTTCCATAACACCTCAGCAGTGCCATAGGCTGATAGTTTCCATGCCACACTGCATTGAGGCAGTAATTGCTGCAAAAGGGGCCCAGACCAAATACTGAGTGCATATGCATGCTTATACTTTTCAGAGGTCTGATATTGTTCTATGTACAATCCTTGTTTTATTGATTGCATGTAATCTAATTTTTGAGATTGTGGATTTAGGGTTTTCATGAGCTGTAACCCATAATCATCACAATTATGACAAATCACGGCTTGAACTATCTTGCTTTGCATGTAATGAGTCTATTTCATATATTAGTTTCACCTTTTAAGTTGCATTACTGAAATAAATGAACTTTTGCATGATATTCTAATTTTTTGAGTTTCACCTGTATAGTTCTTATTTGTGCAGACACCTTTTATGTTGTATGAAGAAAAAATTTATGAAGATACTCAATTTATGAAGTGATAAGGATTTCAGCAGAGTGCTATGATATAAATTAGAGAGCTTTAGGATTAAATCAGGAAAAAATTATTAGGATCCATTTGATTCCCCAAGTTCACTGGGAACCTTGGACCCTTTACAAATGGATTAGTTAATCCTACCTCAAAAATTACTTGTAAAAAAACACCACAGTTCTGCCTTGACTTCTGTGTGACAGCTGTTCAAACACTTGAAGATGGTAGCTGTCATATCACCACACAATTTTCTCTGTTCCAGGCTAAACATATCCATCTGTTTTTCCTTTGAACCTCTTAACATCTTTGTTGCTCAGTTCTGCACATATTCTAGTTTGTGTCCTTCCTAAAATCAGTGCCCAGAATTAAATGCAAATTCTAAATGCTCTCTGACCCGTATAGAATAGAGAGGAATTATCACTTTTCTTGCACCTGAGAGCCTATTTGCAGTATAGAAATGGATTTATTTATTTTTTCTTTTTTGCAGATGCATTGCAGTGTTGGTTCCCTTTGTTTATATTATCTGTAAATTAGCAGTTATATTTTTCTGATCCAGGTTATTTTATGAATATGAAAATAGGAATTGAGATATCTATTTTAAATTTGGTTTCATCAATTTTATTTGTAATGCAATTCATTTGTTGTCTAGCCCAGTTCCATTTTAAAGAAATCCATCAAAATTGCCATGTATTTTCTCTTCTTGTATGATTAATATTTTCCTAGAAATTAATATCCAACTGACTTTAATGGACCTTTCCCTATTTGATGGTACAGAGAAGACTTGTTCTCATCTAATTCTCTCTGTTTACTCAAAAATAATTTATAAGCCTATTTATTAGTTTCTTCGGTATTTTGGGATGCAATACCTCTGGTCTTAGATATTTAAACTTAAACTAAATAAATATTTTCTGATAATGTTTGACCTTGTGGTTCAATCTTGCCCCTTAATCAAGTTTTTATAATTATTTTTAAAACAATAAAAATAGCATTACAGTCAGAGAAAGATTATTGTTAAAGGGTAGGGAGCTGGAAATGGAGGTGGGGAGGTAGGATACTTCTACCACCCATGATAATCCCCCATTGGGGCCTCAAGTCAACTGCTGGAGCCAGATCTTCAGGTCCTTGCAGAAGACCAGTGGGGTGGGAGCAAATTTCATTTGGGATTACTGAATAATAGACTTGGAAAAGCTCCATCTCATTTGACAGAAAGCATTCTGAACCTCTTTCCGGATAACACAATGTCAGTAGACCTAACAATCAGGGATTATAAATTGTGACATGCTATAGTAATACGTTCCTTGCTGGATTAACATATAAACTAGAAAGTTACAAAAAAGTAATTGTAAAAGAAAATGGTAGATATTGGGAATATTAGTTTACATATATAAATCTGTTTCTGAAAATGATTATTAACACAAAAATATTTTACACTTTGGAGAAGGATTGAATTATAATTTAGCCAAAAATATCCAATGAGTTTCTATGCCTATGAGTGAACTTGAATTTGTGTCTCTCTAGTCTTTTTAACTATTACATAGTATTGTGTGTCCTGGAAGTTTGACTGTGTTCTTCAGAAACTAATAAATTGTAAAGTTATTTGGAACACAGTTTACAAAAAAAGTATTTTTCTGACTAGAGAGTTGGTCTCAATACACAGCCTCCTTGATATGCAACATTTCTTCAACCATTTGTATTATGGTTTCCATAATACAAATATATCACTTGAATTGTAATGGTGTGGATGCTTGATTAGTTAGCGAAATCAAGAATACATGACTGTTGCCTCATATCTACGTATTATCTTTCTGCAAGGGTTACTTCAGGCAGAAATACCTACTCAAGATCTTTTGGAGAAGGCAGATATGAAGAATTCATTCTGATTTGTTGCAGTGCAAAAAATATATAAATTTTATGTTGTTTTGTTACTGTTATTTGATTTGATTAGATTATATGGACAAACCTTTGGAAAAGCCATTGAAATTGGTGCTAAAAGTTGGAGGTAGTGAAGTGACTGAACTTTCAGGATCAGGACATGATTCCAGTTATTATGATGACCGATCAGATCATGAGAGAGAACGACATAAGGAAAAGAAAAAGAAAAAGAAAAAAAAATCAGAGAAAGAGAAAGAAAAACATCTTGATGAAGAGGAAAGGCGAAAGAGAAAGGTAATCAACAGTTTCAAGTAATACATGTTATGTTACACTTTTAAATATGTTTAAACACTGTCATAAAGTCATACAACTGGAAGGATCCACTTTGTCCTAAAGGGATATAACCTATATGTCAGACCTGCCCCAAGGCAGTCCCTTAGGAAAGAAAGACCCTTAACTCCATTAGGTTGAAGCAAAATGTTTTTTGTTTTTTTTACTAAGGAAGTTGGTTGTAATAAGTCAGGCAATCTCTAAGGCAGGGGTGTCAAACTCAAGGTCTACAGACCAGATTTGGCCCGTGATGAGGCCAGATGTGGCCCACGTGGCCATTCTGGAAACTAAGGGGCTGCCCCATATCACTTCAGCCCAGCCCACGCCATCCTGGTGGACATTCATGGGCAGAGGCCCAGTTCTCCATCACCATGTGCAGGGCAACAAAAGTAGTTTGGGATTACGGTAAAAAGAAAAAATGTTCAGACCTTCCAACCTTGCGAGATCTTTTTTTATGTGTGTGAGAAGTTGGAAGGTTGAAATATTTTTTTTACCATAGTCCCGCAGATTATTTTAGTTGCACTGCATGCTGACGTGGCGAATGGAGGTAGAAAGCAGGTTAATGAAGGGATGTGGCTGCCCTAGTGGGGGTGGGGGTGGGGATGGGGGGGATGTGTGTGTGTGTGTGTGTGGTATTCAGCTTTGTTCGGGTATTTTCCCATGTCATTATAGTTGTGCTTTTAAAGTTGTAGCAACGTTTTAGCAGAATCTTATCTGCCATCATCAGGCTTCTGTATTGAGTTCGTCTGTGAGATATATACAGAAGCCTGATGATACAGAATAAAGAAGCCTGATGAAGGCAGATGAGATTGTGCCGAAAAGTTGCTACAACTTTAAAAGCACAACTATAATGACGTGGGAAAACACCCGAACAAAGCTGAATACCATACATGTAAGTACCTGCAAAAACTTAAGAAAACACACACGTGTGTGTGTGTGTGTGTGTGTGTGTGTGTGTGTGTGTACATTCACGTGCATGCTATATATGTTAGCAGCAGCGGGGACGGTAGGAACCACTCGAGCAGCCATGATTCCCCCCTCCCAAACCAGTCAGTCCTGCCTGACCTACTCCCGTTCTTCTTCTTGTCCTCCTCACTTAAGCGGAGGCGGGCTATACAGGACAACAACGATGCAACAAACTCCACTGGGCTGGATGCAGGTGTGAAGGACCTGGCCCCGTAGTGCTTCCTCAAGACAAAGGCATCGATGCTATGGACTGGCCCACCCGTTTCCCAGACCTGAATCCAATTGAGCACATCTGGGACATCATGTCTCGCTCCATCCGCCAGTGCCACGTTGCACCACAGACTGTCCAGGAGTTGGGGGATGCTTTAGTCCAGGTGTGGGAGGAGATCCCTCAGGAGACCATCTGCCACCTCATCAGGAGCATGCCCAGGCGTTGTAGGGAGGTCATACAGGCATGTGGAGGCCACACTACTGAGCCTCATTTTGACTTGTTTTAAGGACATTACATCAAAGTTGGATCAGCCTATAGTGTTTTTTTCCACTTTAACTTTGAGTGTAACTCCAAATCTAGACCTCCATGGGTTCCTACATTTGATTTCCATTGATAATTTTTGTGTGATTTTGTTGTCAGCACATTCAACTATGTAATGAACAACGTATTTAATAAAAATATTTCATTCATTCGGATCTAGGATGTCTTATTTTTGTGTTCCCTTTATTTTTTTGAGCAGTGTATATTTATATATGAAAATATTGACAATATTTTTTTTAATATCAGGAAGAGAAGAAGAGAAAAAGAGAGAAGGAACATTGTGATACTGAGGGTGAAATGGATGACTTTGATCCAGGAAAAAAAGTGGAAGTTGATCCACCCTCTGATCGTCCAGTCCGGGCCTGTAGAACTCAACCCAGTGAGTAATTTAGATTTGGAATATCAGTAATGTCAGTTCATGATAATGCATTTACAAGAGTCATGCAAAACTATAATATGCATGTCAACAGTGACATACTATGATACTTTGAATGAGGCCAACAGTCAACAACTATTCTGAAAAGCACTCCCCATTCTCATCTGATTTTTAGTGACTGTGTGAGAACAGTCAACAACTATTCTGAAAAGCACTCCCCATTCTTATCTGATTTTTAGTGACTGTGAGAATGAAGTGTGCTCTCATGGAACTTCATACAACAGAAGTTGTATGTGAGAACTGTGCTGTCAGGTTACAGAACTTTTCCTATTCAATCAACAAGAATGAACTTCTGAAAACCAAACGTATCAAAAGGAATCCTTTATTGAGATGAGACAATTCATGTAGGGATTAAAAGCAACATCTAACGTGCCTCAGGCATGCAGGAATAGATAAGGGAGTTTAAGACCCCTCCCCTTCTCTTGATGTGTATTTAGTAAAACAAAGAGCCAACATGTTTAGTTCTCCAGAATGGTTTTGACAGGATCCATGCATGGGATGTATTCAGCTGTGTTCGGCTATAGACTGAATAGAAAAACTGAAGACACACCCCCTTCAGGTCACCATCTCCAGTTCTTCTATTAAGTCTCGGCAGAATAGACGCTTAATTTTTTGCTCCTCTATACTTTCACATAGAGGGGGTGTTTGTAATACCTTTTTTGTTAATATTTGTTATTTTGGACTATCCACACAACACTCCCTACGGGACTATCAGCGCAATAGGCTTTTTGAAGCCTGGTGCCTTTTGGTGTCGCAAGCCTTCATTTCACAGCTTCTGCATTTACAAAGACTTCTTCAGCTCGGAGCTTACAGGATCGTCCCCAAAAACCTGGAATAGGGTTTTGGGGGCATTGAAGCGACACCTTGTGCCAACTCAGTAGCCTGCCCAGATAAGGGAGAGTTCAGTAGTTCGTGCACAAAAGACAATTTGTTTTGCCTTGTTTCCTAACGCTGAGCAGCTTCCTTGTGACGAACAGCTGAAGGCAAGATCGTTCGGACCAAGATCGGAAAGATTACATAGCAAAAAGCCTGTCAGACAGCCTGTCCAGTAAGGAAGAGCTGTCTAAGCAGAGCTGTTGGGACTGCCGTGACGTGGTTCTGCAATGGTAAAAAATTAACGTGGCAACGGTCAGAATTGGTGGGAGTGCCATTTTGTAAAGGCAATCAGCTTCTAGCCTTAGCAAAGCTGTAGTGCCTGTCACAAGGAGGCTCCAGTAACTGTTAAAATTGGCGGAGCACCATTTTGTAGAGGTGGCTATTTTCTAGTAGCTCCCACTGCCTCATGACCAAAAAATGGCTGCTCATAGAGAATTATCCTGGAGAGATTTGGAACATTAAGCTAACTAATTACCCTAATTATTGGCGGAATTCTGTTTTCAAGGACAAAGTTTCTGAAATAGACTAATGCTGTTATTGGATATTTTTCTCATAAGATAAAGACACATAACAAATAATAACAGATAAATATTTGTTATTTCTAATTTTATTTATTATAGTCAGAGTGCTATTTTGATTTCTGTCAGATATTATGGATTATCTGCCAAAGTGCTGTCTCCACAGCAGATCGCTTCCACTCAGCTGAAAGGTAGGGGGTGAAAGATCCTGTAAGACCAAAGGAGGCAGCTGACAAGATCAGAACCAGGGCCAGAGCCAACAGAAAGACCAAGGCTGATGGCCAGGCTGAGCACAGACCACATAGTACATTGGCAAAGCAAATAGAAAAGACTTCAAAAGATCAAGTGAATTCATTGCAATTAAGCCCTCCCAAAGAGGATCTCACAAGTCAGTTACTTTTTTCTCAAGTGGAATCTGACATGGATAATTTGGACCAAGTAGCTACTAACATACAGGATTCTGAGATGCCAGGGTGTTCTTACTGGAGTAATCATGTACCAATGGCTCATTCAGTACCTGGACCTGTACAAATGCAACACACTAATACAGAAGGTCAATTGATGCCTCTGGTGGTCCAGCAATGGTTCATACAACTGATTGGGCAAGGAATGATGGGAGGATTTCAGATGACCAATCCAATGCAGGCAGATTCGAGAGTAGATTCCCTCCATCGTAAAAAATATTCCCATCCTCCTGGACTGACTCTTAGAACCAGAACATGTTCTCCTGCCACATCAGAGGATGAATACTCCGATCGTTTAGTAGAGGAAGGAGAAATAGATTCCCTCTCAGAGGAGGAAACAGAGTTAGAGGTATCTGATACTAAAGGCCTGTTTAAACCACATTTATTTAAAGCATTATTAGCTGAGGCCAAGAGTGCAACTGGCCTAGAATTGAACCAAGAGACACCTTGTGCTTCTCACAAAGCACTTTTCATGGACTCAAAAGTGGAAGTGGATGTCATCCCTTCCTATGAAATTTTCTTTAATATGGTGCAGAGACAGCTTGAGGTGCCCAGTTCAGGGCCTGTAATTATGGCCTTTGACAAAAAAAATTATAATGTTGACACACCGTTAGCAGCAACTTTATAGCTACCCAAGGTTGATGACCCAGTGTTAGCTTTAGGGCTGATTCAATGTGGCGTAAGACACACCAGGCAGCCTCATGGATGGTCAAAACTGCCACAGCGGCATCCTTTTTTACCAGGGCCTCTGTGATATGGCTAAAGACAAATGCAGCAGCAGATACCAACAGACAGTATAAGAGCCCACTTAGCCTTTAACAAAGTTATAGCTGCATCGGAATATACAGCTGACAGAACTTTGAACTCTGTCAGATTTGCATCAAGAACCATGTCTTCGGCAGTGGCTGCACGCAGATTACTCTGGCTCAGGTACTGACAGGCCGATACCAAGAAGAAATAGAAGCTGGTATCCGTACCATACAAAGCGGGAAAGCTATTTGGGGCATCATTAGATCCTGTTCTCATCGAATCTCGGGACAAACATAAGATATTGCTGTCAGTCTTAAAGAAGACGGACACCAAATTCTCTCCCTATTACAGACGGTTTAGAAAATTCAAATAGTCACTTGGGTATTCCTGTTAGTGGTAGATTGCAAAGTTTTGCAGACCAATAGGAAAAAACATCCTCTGATCTTTGGGTTAGGCAGCAACAAGGGAAGGTCTGGCGCTTGAATTTCGAGCCAGGCCCCCAAGATTTTTTTATTAGGTGTCCAGTATCTGCAAACATACAAAAGGAGATAAATGGAGGAGTCAATTCAGCACCTACTGACAATACAAGGTATTGAAGTGGTCCCAGATCAACAACAGGGCCAAGGCTTCTTTTCCATGTTATTTCTTGTTCCAAAGTCATCAGGGGGATGAAGGGCTATTTTAAATCTAAAAAGACTAAACTCTTTTGTTATTTATCGTAGGTTCAAGATACACACGCTTCAATCTATCTTGAAGGGCGTGAGACATGGGGACTATTTAGTTTCAATTGATCTTACCGAAGCATATTTGCATATTCCAATTTCACTTGACCACCACAAGTATTTAAGATTTTGCTACACTGGTCAACATTTTCAGTGTAGAGCACTCCCCTTTGGGTTGGCATCGGCACCCAGAGCATTTACTAAAATCCTAGCAGCTTTAATAGCCCATCTTCGAACTGTTCCAATTAGGATTCTGGCCTACTTGGATGCTATTTTAATACAATCAGTTACCTTAGTCATCACCTTACAAACATTACAGTCTCGTGGTTTTTGGTTAATCAAGAAAAGAGTCATTTGGAACCGTCTACCAAACTCCTACATTTAGGAGCAATAATTGATACCGAATGAGAATTAGTTTTTCTGTCTCAACAAAGAAGAGAGGACATTAAAGAATTAGCAGCCCATTTTTATTTCAAAAAAAAAAAAAAGCATCCCCAGCCTAAATGTCAAAATTGTTAGGCAAAATGATATCCTGCATTGATATAGTGCCATGGGCACGACTACATTCTCGGGAATTGCAGTGGTTCTTATTACCCTTTCAGAGATCCATGAAAGGGCACTTCTCCCATCCAAGTGAGATTGCTAACCAAGGTTTTAATATCCTTACTTTGGTGGACCTCTTCAGCAATAGATAAAGGATGCTACTTTAAAGACAGGGAATTTACAACAATAACTACCGATGCTAGACTCTCAGGATGGGGGCCCTATTGTCAAGAACTGGTAGCACAGGGCATTTGGACTACTCAGGACCTTAAGCATAATATCACTTGGTTAGAATTAAGAGCAGTCCATCTAGCTCTCAAGGAATTTGAGGCCAGAGTCAGAGAACAAGACACGTTAATCCTAACAGACAATGTGACCACTAAGGCACACATAAATCGTCAGGGAGGAACACAGTCAAAGTCATTACAAAAAGAAGCTTTTGTCTCTGTACAAGGGCAGAAAAAAAATTGATTTCAATCAAAGCTGAACACATTTCAGGGACCATAATATCAGGGCAGATTGGCTAAGTAGATCAGGGAGAGTGGAGGTTGCATCCTCTTCTTTTTCAAGACATTTCCAGCAGATTTGGTCACCCACTATTGAATATGTTTGCATCTGAGCCGAATCATCAACTGCCTTGTTTCTTCTCCAGCTTTCCATCCTGGGGAGCAGAGGGAGTCAATGCCCTTTGTTGCCAGTGGCCAAAAGGACTCCTTTATACCTTCCCTCCATTACCTCTCGTCTCAGCAGTTATCAGGAAGATCTTACAGCAAGTGGACATTCTCCTTGTAGCACTGTATTGGCCCAGGAGGCCATAGTTTGCAGACTTGGTCAGTTTGTCAGTGTCATGTCCGTGGAGGATTCCTCCCGAATGGGTGTCTCTCAGCCAGGGGCCAATTCTACACCCAGAGTCTCAATGGCTTCAATTGGCCATCTGGCACTTGAAAGGAGACTGTTAGAAAAGGTGGATCTTTCCACACAGGTGGAATACTATACAGACAGGCAGAAGACAATCCACCATTAGAATTTATGAGGCTACCTGGAGAGTTTTTTGTAATTGGTTCAAGGATAAGGGCTCAGATCCTGGAGAGGCTTCCATCTCACAGGTTTTGGAATTTTTACAAGGATTGGACAGGGGTCTTGCCCCAGCAACTCTTCGTAGACAGGTTGCAGCGCTTTCATCGGTAATTTCATGCACCAGTTCAGATTTATTGTCACAAGATGCTTTAATTCGGCGTTTCCTTAAAGGGGCAACAAATTTAAGACCAGGAGTCATTCATAGATTTCCATCATGGGACCTTTTCAGGGTACTGCAAGCCCTTACTCTTTCACTTTTTGAGCCTTTGAGAACTGTCAGTCTACAACACTTATCATATAAAGTAATTTTTCTTGTGGCAATTACATCTGCCAGACAGATGTCTGAGCTTGCAGCTCTGTCAATAAGACCTGATCCCTGTCCTTGGATATTCTGATGCCCAATTCTTACTTCGCTGGTTGCCTTCACCTCCTTTGCAATTTATGATAGGATGCCAGCGAAGGGAGGTATACTGAAGGTGGGAGGCCTGACATTCTGCCCCCCTTGAAAAAGATGTTAGTTCTGTAGGAAAGGAGACAAAAAGTAGAGACAATTGGAATTTAATGAGGCTTATCTGGATATTTGTGATGGAATTTACGAAGAAGTTTTGGTGCTCGCACCTGTTGGGCACCCCCCCATTCTGTCTTTGAGGGGGAGAAATCCTTCCACGCAATTAGATATTGGATTTTCCCTTGGTGTCTATAAGAGTCTAAAATGTCTTTAACTTCAAAATGCTGTTTCCCTTCAATTAAAATGGGAGTTGGTGATGGTTTCGTTGCAGGGCATAATTGTTGGTTTCAATAGGCTATAGTGAAAGACCACGTAGACATGCCTGAGGGTTTTTGGTAGGTCCAATTGAATTGTTATTGAATTGATGACTGCTGACAGACAAAGTGCCAATGTTAAATACATTGGCACTTTTTCTGTCAGCAGTCATCAATTCAACAATTCAAGTGGACCTACCAAAAAGGCGCAGTTTTTTCGATGGCTACCTAGACTGCAGATATTTGGTGGAGAGATTGACTTTATCGCCTATGTTAAAATCTTTTGGTTCAGAGCATTTTTTGTTGGCATGCTTTTTATAGGTTCCTTGTGCTTTTTCTAGCACTTTGCAGACTATTGGCCAAGTGCTTTGAAGTTGTATAATCTTTTCTGCTTGTGATGTAGTTTATGGCTTGACCTGGAGTAATTCGGACATGGTTACAAAGTCCTGGCCAGTGGCAAGTTTAAAGGGGGTGAGGTCTGTGCTACTATGTACTGCATTACTGTAGGCCACCTCTGCAAAGGGGAGGATCTCAACCCAGTGGTCCTGTTGGTAGTTAATGTGGCATCTTAGGTATTGTTCCAGGATGCCATTTGTACATTCACACACACCCCTCATTCGTTTGGCTATAATGGGAAAAGCTAAGCTGCACGGGGAAGCAATTGAAAGTCTGTTATGGTCACTGAGCAAATGGTTGTTAGTCAAGGACTACTTGTATTGAAATAATGTTGTCCTCATATTTTCTACAATTTTTTTTGACAAAAATCATTTAGAGATCTATTCAAAACATATTTGGGTCCAGATGCTTAAAATGCTTCCTTCATCATATGTCTGGATCTGCTAAACCCTCTTACGGCTATTGATGTGTTTAAGATTTGTTGATGATTGCCTGCATAAGGTTCTTCTTATTGCAGTGCCCCATATATAAAATTCCACATGCTGAAAGTTTTCTTCCTCTTCACTGATATTGCTTTAGTATTTTTAAGAAGATACTTGATTTATCTGTTTTTTAATTCTATTTATTGCAGTTTTAGTTGGGCTCTATTGGGTCTTTGCTATTCCTTTTTATGTATATTTTAATGAATTTTATTTTTAACATTTGCGTGTCTCATACATTCTTTTTCTGGGGTGAAAGGTAGAGTGTGCATTTCTTAAATGAATGATTAATTTGTTATCTTTCTTGTGCAGAAACACATTCAATTGTAGAAGCCCTCTATAGAAATAGCTTATATTATTAGAATTGTGAAAACATGAGAATCACTATCAAAACCTATTTTTTTATGTTGTATTATAGCAGAAAATGAGAGCACTCCTATTCAGCAATTATTGGAACATTTCCTTCGTCAGTTACAGAGGTAAGAATATATCATATATAAATGTAATAAGAAGTAAAACTGCTGTTTTGAGTTATGAAATTTAGATGCTTAACAATGTGTCCTCTCTGATTAAGAGGTGTTTTAAAGTTGACACTATTTTCTACTGACAGTTTATATAAGTTTAGATGTTGTACAAGCAAATCTGTCACATAGATGCATGCTTGTTTTAATCTTATTTGAAAATGTGAACAGGAATCTTAGTTTTAGAAATCTGAGTGCTTTGGTCATTCAGCATCTTCTCCAGTACAGCTTAAGTCTGTGGTCATCCTTCACATGGATACGTTAATCTTTATTATTGAACCAGATAAGGCAGGAAAGTGTTTTGAATTTGATCTTCTAACAGGCTTTGGAGCATGAAGAGCACAAACTTGTATGAAATACTTTAAGTACCATAACCTACCTCTAACATATTAAAGTTCCCATCTTTAGAAAACTGGTTTCAAAGGGCTGCACAGCTCTAGTTGAGGACCAGAGGAAATAAAATAAAGTATACATTAATAGTTCATAATGTAATGCTGAACTTAAAAATGCGCAATCAGCTTTAACATACCCTTCAGTATATTCATGTATGTGTCAATTTAGGTAAGCTTTACTGAACTTATTAGAACTTATTTTCAGGTAAGAAAATTTGGGCTTAGAGAGTTTTGATGGACAAGGGGGAGAGTGGATGTCAAAAACATGCATCATCCTTTCTGTTCGTTGCCAGACTACAGTTTGCTCCAGGCTTTCCCTTTCTTCCTGGACCATGGGACACAGTTTCCCTGCATTTTATTATCAATCCTCCAGCTAAGCAATGACCACTTTGATCATAGGAAATCTCCTTACCAGAATGATTCACTTTATTCTTTGCAATAAGAAAAAGGCTCTGAAGACTCTGGAACTATTTATGGATCATATTGCTTGGTTCAGATAGATGAGTTTTAATCGTGGCTCCTAATTTACCTCCAGGTTTAGAAGATCGTTTCCCGCTTACAGGACATTTATATTCATTTGTCCTCCTCCTGAGAACCCAGATTGTTGGGAGCAATATGGTGACTCTGTAAACAGCTTAGAGAGGGCTGTAATGCACTGTGATGTCTTAAATGCTATTGCTGTTTATTGTATGTAATCTAATGGGAGAGGAAAAGGTGGCTACACTGAACTTTATTTTCATTGAGCTATGTCTCTTATCAATAGGATAATTAAATTGAATTATTTCTTTTTGCAATAATTCAATATAGCAACTGATAGGTCTCGTCTCACTTTCAAGCAGTCTGTAATTGACCCAACCACCAGGCATCCTGTCCTCAGAGCACTTGTCTTGAATTTTGACTTTCTCCAGAAAAATAGGCTGTCTAGATCCTCTTAAAGGACCAATTAGATTTGGCTTAGGCCATGTAGAAACATGCAGTAGGTATACCTAAAAGCACCAGGATGATAGAGTAGTTTTCACTTAATGTTTGCCTTCTTCATACCTACCCAAGACATACAGTCTATAGCATGGTTACACATCAAATTAACCCAGCGGCTTTTGTCTGCAATTGGCTGCTTCAAAGTAGATTAATCCAGTACAGGTAGTCCTCAATTTAAAACAGTTCATTTAGTGACAGAAGTTGCAATGCTGAAAAAAAAATGCTGAAAAAAGTAACTTACAGCTAGTCTTCACACTTAACGACCTTTGCACCATCCTCAGAGTCACATTGATCAAAATTCAGGTGCTAAGCAGCTAAACATATATTTTGATGGTTGCAGTGTCCCAGAGTTATGTGATTGCCATTTGTGATCTTCCCAGATGGTTTCTGACAAGCAGAGTGAATGGGGGAAGGCGAGATTTGCTTAATGACTATGATTAATTTAACTGCAATTATTCAGTTAACAACTATGGCAAAAAAGGCAATAAAATTGGGCGTAACCCACTTAAAAGCTACCTTACTTAACATAAATTATAGTCCCAATTTTGGCATAGGACAAGGACTATCTGTATCTCATCAGTCATTCCCTGTTTAAGAGGGGCCCATTCTGCACCTCTTCCTCATACTATCTTATCCTACCCCAAACATTAAATCTAGCAGATGGGAAAGAAGACTACCAAGCGAATAAATTCACTGGAAGGACAACTTAATCAGAGAATTAGTGAGAGGGAGCAAGGAATATGTAGTCATCACAATTTATTAGTTTCATCTGAAATTACCCCATAAACCCCATCCTTATGAACCTCCTCCAAAATTACTAGAGTTTATCTTCCAAGATGAAGAAACTTGAATTTCGGTCATGTCCACTTCCCCATTTGTGTTTGCTCTGTAAAGGAAGGGATAGATACCTTCCAGTTATATCTAGCTTTGCCATGCTTGTCCATTAAACTTGACAAACTCAGCCCATCTTCAAGCAAGGAAGTGTGGAAAGACTATGTGTGTACTTTCCTTCTGATGGATGAGATGATGTGACAGAATACAGATGTGGCTTTTAGAAGGGAGAAGAAAGCAATGAAATATTAAAAGGAAGAAAATGGCAATATAGTCCTGAGAAAGTGGAATGTATTAAGTAGAAACTCCAAATATTCTCATCAATTTTATTTGATATATAAGATGGGATAGATAGAAACTCTGAGAGACTTTCATGATGTATTATGCTATCTTACAACCATGAAGGACATTTTTGGAATTTTTTATGCTTTAATTTTATCTACATTGAAAGTCTGTTAAAGATTCACTGGTTGTTTGTAATGTAAGTCGAAGGCATTTAGCTCAAGATAAAAAGGCAAACTAGAAGAAGGGATATTTTATTAGGTAACTGTTGCCGATCCCCAAATGACTCAGAAAACTTTAGGAGGATAAATAAAACCTTAAAAATCTATGAAGACTTCTCTTCAAAAATTAATTGTGCCATAAACAAGATAATTTCTAATTTCTTTTTGCCTTTTTCTTTTTTCTTCCCTTGCCCTTTTCAAAAGGTAGAACTTGCAACCTTGGATTGATTGACTGATTAAATTTATATTATGTCCATTACATTGTCAAGCACTCTGGGCTTTAATCTGTATAGTAGTTGATTGAAAATCTCAAAGTGATGGGAACTTTGAGAAAAAATGATTATTGTTAGAATTCTTGATTTTAACTATTAGTAGATTTTTAAAAATCTAGAGCCTGGATTTTCAGAAGGCAAATTTTAATAACCCAGAGAAATAGTAAGATATTCTGGGAATAAAACTTTAAAACCAAAGAAATTGTAATTATTAAAGACTTCTTGATAGAGCAGTTGAATATGCTGAGTTTGTCAGTTGGAAACTGACAGCCTGGGTTTGAGACATGAGTGCCATGCAATGGGGTGATGGCCAATCCTGCCCACCTCCTGCCCACCTAACAATTCGAAAGCATTCAAATGTAAGTAGATTAATAGACACCACTTTGGTGGGAAGGTAAAGTATTCTGTATGCCATTGGCAGATAGCCATGCTGGCCACATGATCATGAAAAATGTCTTCAGACAACACTGTCTCCTTTGACCAAGAAAACAAGGAGACATCTAAAGGAGCCAATATGATTAAATTGGCAGGTTGCAAAGAAGTAAAATTAAATAAGACTCTTTATAGAAGAAGGGGTAACAGCCAAGGAAGTATATAGTCAGCCCTTCAAGTTAGGTCAGGTCATGAAACGGAGCAAGTATTTCAAGAATTTTGCTTTACTATTGTAGGCTGTAGAAATAGGTCATTGAAAGTTTAGTAGAGTAGCACTTTGTCCCCTGTTATACCAAACAGAATTGTGGCAGGTTACTTTAAGTTTATTTCTCATGCTTTTTTCTTTGTTAAGATTGAATTACCATTTACCTACCAATCCTATTTCTTCATCACAATTGTACTGATACACCACTATATCTACTGTTTGAAGTTTCAGCCCCAGTAGGAATGAGGTCAGGAAAACTAGGCTAGCAAGAGAGACAAAATTAACCAATAAAGACTTTGAAAATATGACAGTAGGAAGAAAAAGATAACAGAGGCTCACTGCTTATTTCAGCCAGAAAAATAAATAAATTAAGCAAGAAAAAATAGAGGAACTCAATTCCTATTTTGCCTTTGTCTTTACATCTAAAGGATCTAGTGATTTGTGTAGCATTTGAGAAGTCCTGGAGAACTGGCTAGGGGTGCCAGAGGATTGGAGAAGAGCAAATGTCTCCCTGCTCAAAGAAGGAAAAACAGAAGATCCTAGTGATTATTGAACAGTGATCGTAGCATCAATACTTGGAAACATATGTTAGAGCAAATAATAAAGCCAATCATTTGTAAGTTTCTTGCAGACAATGTTGTGATTTGCTAGGTCCGCATGACTTTCTCAAAAATAGGCCATTTGAGACAAATATTCTTTAACCAGGCAATTATTTTAGTAGCTTGGGGAATGCAGCAAATACAGCGTATGGTGGTCTTTCATTGCCAAATTCCTAAAGTGTGGTTTGAATGGTTATACAGTAAAATGGGTCACAACTGACTACCTGTATACTCAGAGTCAACATGGATCTCCCTTGGGGCCAATACTGTTCAATATTTTTATTAATAACTTGGATAATGGAATTGGTAGACTACTTGTCAGTTCATGGAATGCACAAAATGGAAGGTCTGACCAAGCTGGGAAGATTGCATTCTAATCTGGACAAGTTGAAAGACTTGGATAAGAGTAACAAGGTATCCTTCAATAGTGGTAAATCTAAGTTATACAGTTTGATAAGGGAAAATATGTGGCATACATAAAAGTTGGGGGATTTTTAGCTTAGAAACACTCCTTTGAAAAAGATTTGATTATGGTCATTGCCAACAAGCTTCACATGAATAAGCAGTGTAAGTCAGCTTCTAGAAGGCTTTACGCAATTCTGGGCTTATAGTCATTGCATGAGAAATGTGTGAAATCTTTATTTCCCTCTATTCCGCGTTAGTAAAACCATATCTGGAGTTCTGTTATGATTCTGGACATGCCCCCAAAATATTGGTAATTTAAGATAAGTTCAGAGGAGGATGACAAATGCAAATACAGAGACTTCAGAATATACTCTACTGGGACAAGATGAAAGAACAGAAAATATCATTCTAGAGAAAAGAGTAGAATACATTGTTTAGATATATACAGAAGAATGTCAAAGGAAAGAAAATCAGGAACTCTACAACATAGAAAGTAGACACAGAAATAGGTTGCAGCTATGTAGATTTCATTTAAATATGAAGAAAATTTTTGTTAGATCAGTACAACAGTAGAACAGTTTCTCTAAGAAGGTTGTAGCTTATCCATTTTATGGGCAGGTTCTCAAGATTTTGATACATTAGGAAAGCTTGGACTTTATAATTCTTGTGGTTTCAACTCTACACTTTTATGTTTCTAGGATACTTTTCACACATATATACACGTTCTCTCAGGAAAGGGGAATCGATTTTCTGATAAAGGAGTAGAAAGAGCTAGCACTTTTGAACAGAGTTTGAAGGAAGAAAGAGAATAAGGATTGCTGCTGACCTAAAATGGATTGTGGACAGCATTGGCTACTGCAGTTTGTTTGTTCCAGGGGAACACAAGATCATTAAAGCAGTCCAAAGGAAAATGGAATAAAAACCTTGAAATAGAGCTGTATATGATTCAAAAAATCATCAGAGAAGGAAAATGGGAGTTGAAAGCATGTCTTTTTGATGTAGTGGTCCTGGGAAGGAGGGTTTATGAAGTTAAAAATAATAGACTGCCTGAAAGAGATTTCCAGTTGGTTAATTTATGCCCTTAATTTGAATGGAGAAGGTTGTAGAAATACTAAAAGTTCTGCTTTTTGCTTTCTTTTGCTTTCATTAGGATCAAAAATAGAAGAAGTTTTTTGTCACATGTTTGCACACCCCAGCACGAAATATTGGCTTATGCTGAATATTTGTTTTGCTCAGATATTTATTTGTGATAGATGCTCTAAGATTTTTGGTGCTTTGATGGGTTAGGGATTGTATTTCAGTTCTTTTATGTTTTCCATTCCTTGGCTTTGCCTTCAGATGTTTCATATTGCAAAAAGTTGTTAAATTGATATCATTAACAAAGTATGGCAATATTATACCCAAATATAACGCTCTGTGCTTTTTTTTTTTAGGAAGGATCCTCATGGTTTTTTTGCTTTTCCAGTTACGGATGCTATTGCTCCTGGCTATTCCATGATAATAAAACATCCTATGGATTTTGCTACCATGAAAGAAAAAATTGCAGCAAATGAGTACAAGTCAGTAACAGAATTCAAGGTAAATTAATGAAGACTTATTAACCTAATATTAATTTTTATTTTTTTCTGTAACAAAGATAAGGTTCCAGGTTATACATAGTAATCTTTGTATTCTACAGGAATATGCTTCAACCTATACCTAAAAAGTCAAAGCCGTTCAGTGTATTCAATGAATTATATTGCTATTAGCCCTATGTATATGCATTTTATAAATTATAAAAGTTTATTTTAAGATTCTAGCAGTCTTCTTATAACTTGGCACCTTCATTTTTTACTTCTTCTTCTTCTTTTTCTTCAGCGTTTGTCTCGCGCTCGGGCG